GGCGCAGCAACGTCAACGACGTGCTCGCCAGCTGGAGGAAGCTCATCGGGCTCTCCGTCGCTGCTCACGCCACAGAGCTCCTCGGGCGCTGCCTGCGGTCACTCAATGCGAGCGCTCAGCGTTTCCATCGGCAGTCGGAGCCTTGACGCTCGGGCCTGCGCCCAAGCCTCAAGCCTCCGACCGCAATGGAATCGCTGAGGTCAGGCATTGAGTGACAGTTCCTCGAGGGCAGCCAGCGCTCCAGCCAGCTGGTCAGCACCCTCGGCGCCGTCGGCGCCCTCGGCGCCGATGCCCTCCAGCGCCTGGCCCAGGCTGTCGGCGCCATCGGCGCCGCCGCCTGCGGCGATAGCGGCCAATGCCGCGCCGATGGAGCCAGGCTCCATCACGCGGGCCAGCCGACACCCCTGGCAGGACTGAACCTGCCAAGGGCTGCGCCAAAATGGCTGCGGAGGAGGGGGAGGATGGGGAGGTGGTGGGGGATCTGGTTCAAAGGCGGGGGGGAACGCCTTCTCGTTCTTTGGTTTCACGGTTCGTTTGGCCCATGGCCCCATTCGCTATTCTGCAATGAAGCTAGTGGCCCGTGGCCTTCCCGTGGCAATCGCCACCATGACCAATGCAATACAATGCACTGCAATGCGTTGCCTCTGAGGGGGACCTTGGCCTACCCAGTAATACTACGAGGTCCTGCCCCCCAACAAAACAACACGAGACAAGGTCTAACGATCAATGCCGTTCATCGTACTCCCCCTCCTCCCCTTTCTCCTCATTCGCTGTCCCATGCAACGCACGCGTGCATGTTATTTCATTGTCAATTCCATTGTTTTTACGATACGATTTGTACTGTGACCGCGGAACGAAAACAAGACGATTTGGGAAATCGGCGTTTGAGGCTGCAGAACGACCCGCGGGTAAAAAACATGACGGTTTGCAATACGACCTGGTCAACCTTGCGGAACGACTTGCGGAACGCCTGCGGGTAAAAAACAGAACGAATCCCGACCCCCCTCCTGTAGCAGACAACGCCGACTCGGCCTGAGGGCCGTCTCTTGCGTGCCCCGGGGCCCGATCACGGGCCGCAGCGGCGGAAACCGAAGGAAAACCGCAAAGCATCGGACCAGGCTGGCCGAAGCCGACATGTCGCCGCGCTGTTTGTTCTCGACGCGCCCAGATGGACGATACGCCAACACCACGGCAAACCCGCTACAAACCCTGCGCCACGCGCCCCGAGTGGACGCAACCGGCGCCACAGCAAACCCACGGTTAACCCTGCGCCCGAGGCGGAGTTCGCCCTGGTGGCCGCGGCGCCCTCCCCGAGGCGCAAAAGGGCCGCGCGTCGGAACACAAACAGGTCGCGGCGACACCTGAGCCTGTTTTTTTTCTGTTTACAAAAACCATTCTGACAAGTCAAATGCATGGACGGGGGGGGCGGCGGGCCTGAATCTGAAGGAAGCCGCGAACGACTTGACGTGCGGAAGCCACGCAAGTCGACAGGCACTTGCACGCTCGCACTCAATCGAAGAGGGGCGAAGGAAAAAGGGGGGGGCGAACGCCATGTGCAAGCAAACTTGCCTGAACCTAAAGAAGAACAAACTCAAAACAAGGCGCGGCGACACCTCGAAACGGGTTGGAGGCGCCTCGGGGCCCGCCGACCGACTTTCCCCGAGGCGCAAAAGGGCCGCGCGTCGGAACAAAAGCAAGGCGCGGCGACACCTCGAGTCAGGTTGGGCACGTCCTCCTACAGGCGGATGTTGAAGAAAGCTGAAACATAGTCTAAAAATGATCAGAAGTAGCCAAACATGATCGAAACATCGCCCCCGCACTAGTTCTCTTGCCTATTCTTGAATAGTCCGCCTGCCAAAGGGACAGGCCCGACTCGCGCCTCGACTCGGGTCGCAGGCCTCGGGGCCGGCCGACCGACCGCCGCCCGCTGCAGCGCGAGAGGCTCGCCCTCGGGCCCGGCGCCGCCCCCGGGGCGCGCCGGCGCGGCGGCGGCGGCGGGCCCGCACGCCTGGGCACGGGGGGGCGGCCGCAGCGGCACGCCGACCCCGATCTGCGGGGGCGTCCAACCCTGCGGTGGCAACTCGTGTCGGGGGCGCGCAGGCATGGATCCCAGAGCCCCTCGAGCAAGGAAATCATCCGGACGGGAGGTTTCTTTAAATACAATTTTCGGCCTCTGGGGGCCCTTGCCGGGCCTCGGGACGGTCAAAAAACGACTCAGGATGAAAAGCCGGTCCCAGGGAATAGGTCGAGACCTCTGGGGGTCGACATCATGAAAAAGTCATGACGTCGGGGGTCTGGGATTAGCGATCCATGGATGTGGCGCGCGGTCGCCAAATCCATGGATCGGGGGAGGTGCCCTCCCCAAAATGTGGCCGGTGCCGCCTTGCACGGGGGCGGAACTCAGCGATTTCCCATGGAAACGGGACCCGTCGCTAATCCACGCTCCCTTGATCCATATTTGCGATCGCCTGATCTTCGGTGGCAACTCATGGGAGCCTCCCATACCATCTTGTCGGCTCCTGCGAATCGGCGCTGATCGACGCTAGTCGACGCTCATCGACGCTAGATCGACGCTACATCGACGCGAATCGACGCTAACCGACGCCAAATCGGCACATCTCATCCACTCCCAGACGTTAATCGACGCTAGTCGACGCTAAAAACAGAATTAAGAGGGTATACCAGGCTCCCATGAGTTGCTACCGAACAACCCCGACACCCTCCTGTCCCCCCCAAAAACGAAAAACGACGGAAGGTTTTTCGCTAGTTTCAGCTGCTCGGGGCCCCCACTGGGCCTCGGGACAGCCCTCACGGGACCGTCCACCGGATGGGTCGAGACCTTGGGGGGTCGACGTGATGAACAAACAAATCATGACGTCAGGGCTCTGGGAAGAGGGCGGCGTCCAAAATGGGGGTTCGCAAATCACGGCCGCAGGCATGTGCGTAAGTCCCAGGGGGGGGACAACCCGGTGGGATATCATGGCTCTGGCCATGAGAGACACACTTCCCATAATTATGTTTCATATATTTTCCGGGGGATCGACGATTAATTGTGTCTGCGTGCTTCCTGAATGATATCCACCACCTCTGGTCATCACCCGCCACCTGGAGGAGCTTGGCCGCCCCCGAGATTTGGGCCAGGCCCATCCTGGGCATGGGCATCGGTGTGCCCTGAGACCCTGGCGTCGCGACTTGTTCAAACCGGGCGCATTCGTCCGGTCTCGCGCCCCGGGCCCCTCGCAGATCGATCCAGCTCGAGAGATGCCGCTGCAAGATCCGGTCTGTAGGGCTCGGCTCCAGGGCTCGGGTCGTGCCTTCGGGCTCGAGGAATGCCGCTGCAAGATGGGACTCGAGGGCTCGGGCCGTGTTTTCCCAAGGAGTTGTACTTTTCCGCGACGCCGGATCTCAGGTTGTGTCGTCTGCCTGGCCTGGCCAGGACGGCGTCTGCACCGATGCTGGCTCGAGGTGGGCCTGGCCAGGTCGGTGTGGGTGTGCAGTTGTTGTCGCCGGCACGCCAGCGTGAAGACGTTGTGATCCCAGACATCTGGCGGCTCGAACACATCGGGGCGGCCTGGAGCAAAACGGCCCCCCCCTCCCAGCTAATCGTGGGCGTCCTCTCGGGCACCTTCGGGGCCTGCTTGAGGCAATTCGTCTCTACAGCTAACTAGATTCCCCTCGACATTCTGGTCAGACCGCTTCCAAAGAGGATTCGCGGAGGCCGCAAGGAAAAGGAGATTTCGGGAAGGATCGAGGGTAAAGGTTCCTGCCTGTAGAATGAATCTCCCAGGAGCCTTCTCGCCGCCACGCGCGAAATGAAATTTCAGGGGGTCTCGTTTTCATTTACCCGTGACAAGGATCGCCGTTCTGAGGGAAAGGGGTCCCGAGATGCTTCGCCATGTTCGGTTTATCGGGGCCCTTCCTGTAGAAGCCTCCTAGATGGGGTCCGAGTGGATAAGGTCGGAGGATCGCGCCGCATGGCCGATGCATCGGCGACGTCGGCGGTGCATCGGCGACGGCGGCATGAAGAACATCGGGCCCCGCATCGAGCTGCATCGCCGATGCATCGGCGATGCGGCGCGACCCTCCGACCCCATCTAGTCCGGACCCATGTAGAAGGCCTAGATACTGGGCCCCAAGACAATCGAAAACACACCCAAGATGAAGAACCTGCCCAAAGAGAACCCCTGGGTTCCAGTACCCGTTTCCCTGGGGACCCGTTGTCCTTATAAAAAGTACAATGAACCACAAATGTTGGCGCTCCGCGCGGACTTCTTGAATCTGCGCGCGGAGCGCGCCGGGAGTGGCGCCGGAGGCGCCGCTGGGGCGGGGGGGGGCCAGCGCGGGTCCGAGAAACCCGCGCGGAGCGCCAAAAGTTTATGTTTGTGGCGTTTGCTCTTCTTCGAGTTTCCCTGGGGGTGGGAGGCCTGGAAATGGGCACCAACACCAAGACAGAGGGCTGCCTCCACGGGGGGGAGGTGATCCTAGATTTCGGTGTTGGTGGTAATATTTCGGCCACCTTGGAAGCCAGAATATTACCACCATCACCGAGATCGGGATCTTCTTCCCTCGGTGGAGGAACACCGCCGATCTTGGTGTTGGTGTCAACCTCTAGGCCTGCGAGGGGGGCCGTTCCCTCCCTGGCAGGTCACCAGGTCGTCCAGTCTTCCGGGGGACGGCAGCCGTCCAGCTCACCGATCCTGGCCGGGCCGAGCCTGGGCACCCGGGGGCCCGCGCGAGCGCCTGCGTGCCCAGGCCGGGAGGGCGTACATACACGCCGATCCCGTGCGCCTGGCCGGCATCGGCGAGGCAGACAAGCGAGCGACGAGCGAAAAGCGGGCCTTGCCCGAGGTGGCACAGCGACCCTGCGCCGCAGCTTGCGCGGGCCGCCGGCGCGGCACGCCGCAGTGGAAGCGAGGGCGCTCACGCGCGACCTCACGCGGGCAGCTTACGCGCCAACGTCGGCGAAGACGGCCGCGTCTTCTCACGTCGCTCGATCGACGTCACCCGGATGTGGAGCCTTCGAGCCTGCTCTCGAGGCACAAACCCGCCCCCGTGGGCACGGGCCGAGGCCTCGGAGGGGCCACGCCTCGAGAAGAGCCAGCCGCCAGATGTCTGCGATGGTCGTCCGCGCACAGGAAGACGTCCTCGCTGAGCATCTCCTAGCGAGGTTCGGGGTTCGAGGGCCGCTTCAACATGTGGTCGGAACTTGGACCGGTCTCAAGCCGAAGGGGTTCAGAAGGAAACCCTGGGACAGAATGGACCCCAAAATGGGGTCCAGGAAGAATCAGGGGGCCGCTCTTGAGCGGAGCCCCGGAGGCCGAGAATAGCGAAATACCTGCCGTCGTGATTTTGTTCATGACTCGAGGGGGTCTGGGACGGGCGAGGGGGGAGGAGGAGGAGGAGGAGGAGGAGGAGGAGGAGGAGGAGGGTGGAGGAGGAGGAGGAGGAGGAGGAGGAGGAGGAGGAGGAGGAGGAGGAGGGCGGAGGAGCAGGAGGGGAAGAGGAGGAGGAGGAGCACCAATCCCCCGGGCCAGGGGATCGACCCGGCCAGGCACACGAGCCGGTGCGCTGCCCCGGTCTCCACGGCGGTGAGCCAGGACGTGCTGGCGTCCTGAGAAGCAGGCGAAAACTGCGGCGGTGGCATAGGGAAGGTTCGTGCGGCGTCGGCACGCGCAGAGGTTTTTGGCACCGCCTCGATCGTTCAACTGTGAAACCATCGCGGCCCCGATCGTTCAAGGTTGAATTCCATCGGGTCTAATAGCGTTGCCGCGTCCCTCGGTGGCTCCGCGTCGCAGAATTCATCCTTGAACGCCTTCGCCAGCGACGCCGGCGCGCCAACGCCGCATGAATCTACCGTACCCTGAGATCCAGGCCCAGACACCGTCAAGTCACGAAAATATCAGGGCTGACTGTGACCGCGTTCTAATTCGGCGTCTCGACATTGGGCGGGGGGGGGAGAGGGGGGGGTTTGGCTCTGGAGCTCTGCTTAACGTGACTGTTTGCAACCGTGCGTCCTATGGGGGAGACTCCAGCTGCTCGATGCAAGATCCACTCCATGGGGGTGGCGGAGCAGGTGGGAGGGCCCGCGCCGATCGGCAGAGCCATGAAAAAGAGAAAACAATCACCATCGGCTTCGCTGCTTGCAGTCTCCGGGGGCCGGGACCGTCAGAACACGACTCGGGAGGAAGCTCTGGTCCTTGGGAACGACAGGCGGCCGCGGGAGCGCAGCCGCCTCCTCCTCGTCCTCCGCTTCCTCCTCCTCCTCCTCCTCCTCCTCCTCCTCCTCCTCCTCCTCCTCCTCCTCTTCCTCCTCCTCCTCATTCTCGTTCTCCTCCTCCTCCTCCTCCTCCTCCTCCTCTCCTCCTCCTCCTCCTCCTCCTCCTCCTCGTTCTTCTCCTCCTCCTCCTCCTCCTCCTCCTCCTCCTCCTCCTCCTCCTCCTCCTCCTCCTCCTCCTCCTGTCGAGACACCTGGGGGTCGCCGCCATGAAGAAACGTGACGCCGGGGGTCCGGGGGCGTTGCCGAGTCGTTGCGGCGGGCGCTCTTGCCCTGCTATGCGGGCCCCCGCGGGTCGACCCGGCTCGGCCAGTGCCGCGGGCAGAGATTGGGTCTGGGGCTCCCGTGTCCTAGAGGAGGAGGGATGAGGAGGAGGAGGAGGAGGAGGAGGAGGAGGAGGAGGAGCAGGAGCAGGAGGAGGAGGAGGAGGAGGAGGAGGAGGAGGAGGAGGAGGAGGGAGGAGGAGGAGGAGGAGGAGGAGGAGGAGGAGGAGGAGGAGGAGGAGGAGGAGGAGGAGGTAGGGGGGGGTCGTTTCCACAAAGCGGCTCTCGCCTCAGCGCCGCGCGCGTTCGCCTTCAAAACGTTGCAGCGGTTCTCAGGACGGAGGGCGGGCGGTACGATCGGCATTCCATCCGTGCCGCTGCTGCTGCTCTGGCCCCTCTTCCTAGCTGTCTCCTCCTCGGAGGGCTGGGCTTTTTGGTGCATCCTCGCAGCGCCGGATCTCAGGGCAAGCTGCTGCCGCCATCGGGGGCGCGCGTTCCAAAAGGGCAGCTGGCATGTGCTCACAGGCATCCGGCGCCTCGATTTTTGTCTTGAGACACGGGCCCCCGACCCCTCTCGGGGATCTGTTGTTAGGTCTTGCATGTCCTCCTACAGGCGGATTTTGGAAGAAACAATAATCAAGAACATAATCAAAAACAATCAAAAACAGTCGAACAATCGTCCCCATACTATATTTAACTATTTTTGAATTCTCCTCCTGTAGAGGAACACGCCCGACTTAAAGCTACTGACCTAGGTCAATCCAGACCCGGGTCAGTCAAGCTTTGCAGGATCCTGGAAGATCCTGCAAGATCCTGCAGGATGCTGCGCCCAGGCCCGGGTCAGTGCGGCTCCGGCTCTGCAGGATCCTGCAAGCTCTGGCGCTCTGGCTGACCCTCCTTTGCACGGACCCTCGTCTCAAGTCTTCTGACCCTCGACCACTTCTCTGGACGGGTTTTTCATCACGAGTTGTTTTTTGACGGCCCCGAGGGCGGGAAGGGCCCCGAGAGGCCGAAATCGATGAAAAACCTTAGGTTCGATGTTTTCCGAGACGCCGGATGCCTGGTCCCCCGACGCGCCACCGCACGGGTATGAGCTCCCCAGCCGCCCACAGGCGGACGTACCCGACAGCAGACGCTCGGTCTGTTGTGTGCTGGTCTTCGCTTCTGCGAGGTCCTGGGCCACCTCCACCAGGGACGCCGCCACGGGGTCGTAGCGCAGCAGCTTCGCCGACTGCATCAGGTCGCCGACCAGGATGCGGTCCCCCATCGCCTGGAGGTGCAGCGCCATGATGCTGCCGGTGTGCGCGCACACCTGGGCCAGGGCACTTGCCGTCGCTCGGACGTCCATTTCCAGTGCATTTTTCGATTTCGTGCGTGTTCTTTTTGCTCGATGGTCCAGGATGGTCCTCGAGGGTCCTCGCCGGGAAAAAAATGCACACGTCCGAGCGATGCCAAGGGCAGGGTGGATCGCTGTGGATCGCCATCGCTCCGCTCGGCCTGTCGAGGGCCCGCCCCTCCTCCTGACACGCCGTCCCCTCGCTCCCGCCTCCCGCCCTCTCCTCCTCCTCCTCCTCCTCCTCCTCCTCCTCCTCCTCCTCCTCCTCCTCCTCCTCCTCCTCCTCCTCCTCCTCCCCCTCCTCATCCTCCTCCTCCTCCTCGTCCTCCTCCTGCTCCTCCTCCTCCTCCTCCTCCTCCTCCTCCTCTTCCTATCCCGAGCGCGGAGCAGGGAGCAGCGCGGCTCCGACGCTCGCGGCGGGCCGCGGCCGCGAAGAAACTCGGCCCCCCGACCTGGATCCCGAAGCCACGAGCCCCTCCCGAGGCCAAGTGGGCCCTCGTCTTTTTTTTTCTCGGAGTCCCGAGACGGTGCGGTGACCGACCGTGCGGGGACCTCGCAAAATCCCCCGGGACCTCACCGCACGGTCCGTCCACGCACGGCTTCGGGACCTCGGAGGCCCCATGTCGCCCGAGGCGTCCTCGGAGAGGGCCTCGAGCGTCCCACAGCCGCGCGGTGACCCCGGATCCCCACCGACTCACCGCGCGGTGCGGAGGCACCACACCGCTTGGGGGCCCCCGACTTTCCGCGCCTATAGGCTGCACCCGGAGGCCGGGCATCGCGCACGGCCAGGCACTCGCGCGCCCAGGCGCGTGCGGAGCCGGCGCGCGCGGGAGAGATCTCCGCGCGCGGGAAGGGGGGCGGCGCCGTGCGCCCGCGCGAGCGGGGGCCCGGCGCCGGGAGGGCGCGGGGCCGCGCGGGAGCGGCGAGAGCCGAGGGGTCCTCTTATAGAGGGCGGGAAAGCCGCCCCGAGAAGAACCACCCCGACCAACGCAAGGCCGTTTCGTACACGCACGGACCCCAAAGGAGGAATCGAGCAGGGCAGGGCTGCTTCGAGAACGCCCAGGGCCGTGTTGGAAACGCCAGTTGTCGGGTCCGGGTGGTTTTTCCTCCCTGGACTTCTGTACAGTCGGGGCCTTGATCTAAGGAACCCTAAAGAAGGAACGAGGCCCCTCTTTCCCATAAGTCAAACTTCGACTTCCCATCGACACCCTGAGCAAAACCAGAGGCGAACTGCAAAACAACCAAGGAACACCGAGCCCCTCCCCAACGAAAAGGGTTCCTTCCTCAGCGCCCCGACTGTAAGATGTCGTCGTGGTCTTACGCGGTGGCGCTCGCGGGCCTCCCCTCGTGGCACACCGCGTGGAGAAGAGGGCGCCGACACGCGACCTCGCGCGGGAAGCGGAAGCGCCTTTGTATCGGCGCCGTGGAGCCCCGCGTTCTCCCGTCGCTCCTGCGTGTCCAGCACTCGCCCAGGCCAGCACGATGGAGAACACATACAGTCATCGGCCTGACCTAAGGAACGATAAATAAGGAACGAAGCCCCTTTATTCCAAGGAGTAACGCGTAAGGAAGGGAACGATCTATAATACATATCGCCGATCGACAAATAACGCATGCAAGCCTGAGGAACGACAGAGCCCCTTTTGAAAAGTAAGTGTTCCTTGTTCAAGCCGCTCACTGTAGCTTGCGCTTGACTCGCCCGTGCGGGACAAACCCGTGAAGCCCGCTGGAGAGGCCCTTTGAGACCCGAGCCCTCCTGCCAACCCACCTCTTGGGACCTCGATGTGTTTTTCTTTATTGTCTGTTTTGTTTTTTGATGTCTTCCTCTCTCTCTCTCTCTTCCCCCTCCGCGGAAGAGCTCGTTCGATCGCCACCCGAGGGAAGGAATGGGCGGCACTCGCAGCAGCAACTGGCCATCGCTCGGACGTCCATTCCCTGTGTTTTTGTTCGGTTTCGTGCGTGTTGTTTTCGCCAAGTGATCAAGTATGCTCCTCGATGGTCCTCGCCGAGAGAAAAATGCACACGTCCGAGCGATGCCAAGGCTACAAAGGCCACGCATCTCACACAACCCTTTTTTGGAGGCCCGCGCAGACCTCTTGGACCTCGGCGCTGGCCGCCCCCCGTCCTCTCCCTGGGGCGCGGGGAGAGCAGCAGGGGCGGCGCCAGAGGCGCCGCCAGGGGGAGATCCAGCGCCGACCCCCAAGAGAGATCCACGCGGACCGCCCGAGGAAGCTTCTCGGAGGCCTCCTATAACCCTCGTCAAAATTAGCCTCAAAAATGTCTGACGTGGTTGAACTGTTTGTCGGAAGATCTGGGGCCGAGTATCGATGAGTGCGGGGTAGTTGCATGCGCCGCCCCTCCAATGTCGGTCGACGTCAAACTTTCGAGTCAACTTCGGTCAGACTATCTTTGCCCTCGCCCCGACATTGAAGGGGCGGCGTGTCGACATTGAGGGGCGCGCCGCAATCGAAATGACGTGCCAGCAACTGTTGAGGTTAATTTTGACGAGGGTAGTAGGATGGGGTCCGAGCATGGCTGGGGTCGGAGCACCGCGCGGCGCGATCCTCCGAAACCCCGTCTGCTCGGGCCCCACCTGAGCGACGATCAAAAACGGATCTCACGCGAGATGGCATAGCGTTACCAGCCTGGAACATATCCCTATCCCTATGCTGGGCACCTCCTCACCACGATGCCAATCTTAGGGGTTCCCTTATTTTTTGAGGGCGAATCCCTAAGATTGTCATCGCCTTTTGGCGTGTCAATCTTAGGGATAGGGATACGTTCGAGGCTGGTAAGAGCGACCTTACGCGGTGGCTTACGCGGGCCGCCAGCGCGACATGCTGCGCTGATGCGAGGGCGCTCACGTGCGACCTTTGCGCGGCAGCCTGTGCGCCAACGTCGGCAAAGACGACCCCACTGCTCTGCGTCGCTCACCTGGGAGGCCTAGATTTACGGGTACGTGGTTTCCTCTTCTTCGAAGACAGCCTCTTCTTCGAAGACAGACCCCGGACGTCGTGAATTTTCCCCCACGTCGACCCCCAGAGGTCTGGGCCCCTTCCCGGGTACCAAGCTTTCCCCAGCATCCTGTGGTGTTGGGTACTCGTTTTGAAGAGACGGTCACCGCGTTCCTCCTCCCTCCTTCCTCCCTCCCCCTCCTCCCTCATCCCTGCGTTGCGCCCACTCAATACAACCTTTCGTGACCCCATAGGGAGCTCCACCGAAGCCCCCAATGCTACCGTCCGCATGCGCCACGGAAATCCAATTTGGCACACCCCTCACACGCTTCGTGGAGCTCCACCGCAGGCCCCAGTGCCACCGTCCACATGCGTCCCGAAAACCAGATTTGGCACACCCCTCGTACGTTTCGTGGCCCCATAAGGAGCTCCACCGAAGCCCCCAGTGCCACCGTCCAAATGCGTCCCGAACACCAAATTTGGCACACCCCTCGCACGTTTCGTGGCCCCATAGGGAGCTCCACCGAAGGCCCCAGTGCCACCGTCCACATGCGTCCCGAAAACCCGATGTGGCACACCCCTCACACGCTTCGTGGCCCCATAAGGAGCTGCACCGAAGGCCCCAGTGCCACCGCCCGCATGCGGCCCGAACACCAAATTTGGCCCACCCTCACTCGTTTCGTGACCCCATAGGGAGCTCCACCGAAGCCCCCAGTGCCACCCTCCAGATCCGTCCCGAAAGCCCAATTTGGCACACCCCTCACACGCTTCGTGGTCCCATAGGAAGCTCCACCGAAGACCCCAGTGCCGCCACCCGCATGCGTCCCGAACACACAACTTGGCACACCCCTCACACGTTTCGTGGCCACATACTTACGCAGGACGAAAGATTTTCCTCTTGAGGTGAAAATGGCCATGAGGATTTCGCGGGATAACGTCGGCGCCGCCGAACGGACGGCGACCAGACGTGCTGTTTGCAGCATCCGGGGCGAAAGGGATGTATGTATTCATGTTGAATGGGGCCCGCTCGCGCGGGGAGTTGATGGGAATGCGCGAGACGACGCAGCGCCCATCGTGGAAAGCTAATTACCGAACCCCCCTTCCCCTGTAGAATCTTAACACGGGCGGTTTGCGGGGTCCGCGGATCCGATTTCTTCCGGTTCCCTGGTTTTAAATTTAAAACAGGGTAGACATCGGATCCGCCGTGAAAAAAAAAACGAACACGGATCCAACAAATCCGAAATCGGATCCGCGCGGACGGAAATCGGATCCACTGAAACACAAACAAAAACTAAAATTGGATCCGCGCGAACTTCATTGGATCCGACGGCGGGTATTTCACACGTGTCTGCTTAAGACTTCAAACCTTCGCTCCGGGCCCAAGAGGAAAAAACTTTCGCCTTGGGGATGAACGTTTTGGCCTTCGGACATGTTGGTTGCCACGTTGTCCACGCACCACACCTCACCACAAGTTCCCCGCAACGTGCAGTCAGGAGTTCCTGCTCGATACGTCCTCGGCACGCGCGTTGAGCGGAGTTCTCGTTCGGGACGTCCTTGCAAAAGCTTGCGCTTTGGATTCGGAGTCGTGGTGGGCCACACCAGAGCCCGCCAACCAGGGGAAGGCTCATTTTTTCTAGCGTTGCGCTGGCCTCCAGATCGTGCAGGGGTATGCCAGCGCCCACAACGTAGCAGGAGCCTTTCCTGTCCACGATATTGCACGCGTGGGAGGCGGAAAGAAGAACGAGGAGGAGGGAGGAGGTAGAGGAGGTGGAGGAGGTGGGGCTCCCGCCTGAGAGCGCAGAGGCCGTCCGTTGGGTCAGGAGACGCAGGGCCGAACCGCACTTACGCAGGACGAAAGATTTTCCTCTTGAGGTGAAAATGGCCATGAGGATTTCGCGAGATAACGTCGGCGCCGCCGAACGGACGGCGACCAGACGTGCTGTTTGCAGCATCCGGGGTGAGAGGGATGTAATTATGTATTCATGTTGAATGGGGCCCGCTCGCGCGGGGAGTTGACGGGAGTGCGCGAGACGACGCAGCGCCCATCGTGGAAAGTTAAGTACCGAACCCCCCTTCCCCTGTAGAATATTAGCACGGGCGGTTTGCGGGGTCCGCGGATCCGATTTCTCCCGGCTCCCTGGTTTAATGTGATAATATAAATTTAAAACAGGGTAGACATCGGATCCGCCGTGAAAAATAAGACCGAACACAGATCCAACAAATCCGAAATCGGATCCGCGCGGACGGAAATCGGATCCACTGAAACACAAACAAAAACCAAAATTGGATCCGCGCGAACTTCATTGGATCCGACGGCGGGTATTTCACACGTGTCTGCTTAAGACTTCAAACCTTCGCTCCGGGCCCAAGAGGAAAAAACTTTCGTCCTGGGGATGTAGGGAGCTCCACCGAAGGCCCCAGTGCCACCGTCCGCATGCGTCCCGAACACCAAATTTGGCACATCCCTCAGACGCTTCGTGGCCCCATAGGGAGCTCCACCGAAGGCCCCAGTGCCACCGTCCACATGCGTCCCCCACACCCATGTCGGCACACCCCTCACACGTTTCGTTGCCCCATAGGGAGCTCCACCGAAAGTCCCAGTGCCACCGCCCGCATGCGTCCCCCCATCCAGTGCAGCGCTTCGTGGCCACATAGGGAGCTCCACCGAAGGTTCCAGGTCTACCGCCCGCATGCGTCCCCCCCACCCAATACAGCGTTTCGTGGCCCCATAGGGAGCTCCACCGAAGGCCCCAATGCTACCGCCCGCATACGTCCCCCCCACCCAGTACAGCGCTTCGAGGCCCCATAGGGAGCCCACCGACGGCCCCAGTGCTACCGCCCGCATGCGTCCCCCCCCGCCCCAGTGCAGCGCTTCGTGGCCCCATAGGGAGCTCCACCGAAGAAGCTTTTCACAATTGCGGCACCCACGACTGCATCTGGTCGGGCCCTTCGCCAGGATCACCTTTAATCCTGCATTGTCTTTGGACGGCCCCGAGATCCGGGAAGGGCCCCTCGGAGGCAGAACATGGCGAACAACCTCCCGCCGTGACTTTTTCACAGCGCAGGAGGTCCGGAACGGCTGCAGGGCCTGGCGCTACAGGTGTTTGCGTTCCACGAGGGACGAGTGGGGCGCCCTTCTTTCTTCCCCCCTCTCTCTGCCCAAGATCCCCGCTGGATGAGGAGGAGGGGGGGAGGAGGAGGAGGAGGAGGAGGAGGAGGAGGAGGAGGAGGAGGAGGAGGAGGAGGAGGAGGAGGAGGAGGAGGAGGAGGAGGAGGAGGAGGAGGAGGTCCGTAACGCACGAGGGCGCGAGGAGGTCTGGGAGGTCCCGATCGGCGCAGGCCGCTGCCGGAGCTTCGAGCACCCCGCCAGCCTCCCGCAGCTCCAGCGCGGGCCCCGTGGCGGACGCCGGCGCGGAGACCCGCCGCCACAGGACGACGCGGTTGTTGACCTTGCGAGGGCAGGAGGCACGAGCACGCGCGCACACGAGCTCACCATCCCCAGAGGCCCTCGAGGATTGAAGAAGCATGACGGGGGGAAGTGATTCGCCAGTTTCGGCCTCTGGGGGCCCTTACCGGCCCACGAGACCGTCGAAACCGACTGAGGATGAAAAACCGGAACCGGGGAATAGGTCGAAACCTCTGGGGGTCGACGTCATGAAAAAATCATGACGTCGGGGGTCTGGGACTAGAGGCCTCCTAGATGGGATCGGAGCACAGTCACAACCCGTTCCATAATCACGCACGAGAAGGATGCAAGGGCCTCGGAAGGCCATGTCGGCACTCTGCGAGCGGGGCGCGGCCAGCGGGAGCGGCCGAGGATGGGCCGAGGAGGCAAGGGTGCCAGGGTACCCAGGAAGGTTGCCCATCTCTACTATGCGGGTTGACTGTAGATGGGGTCGGAGGATCGCGCCGCATCGACGCTAGATCGGCGATGCATCAACGAGGCATCGGCGATGCATCGGCCATGCACCGGCGACGTCGGCGATGCATCGGCGACGTCGACGTGAAGAAAATAGGGCCCTACATCGAGCGGCATCAGCGATGCATCGGCGATGCGAGGCGATCATCCGACCCCATCTCCTCGGACCCCATCTGGGAAGCCTAAACACACGAGCTCACACACCTTGTCTGTATTTCCAGGCCGGCTGGGCGTTCACGGGCTGGGCCAACGTGATTCCTATCGAACGTGTGTCGACGGCAGCCCACCAGTCGGGCAACGTGCAGCGCCGCAAGGGGCCCGCTCAGGGGCGGAAGGGAACGGCGGCGGAGGACAGAAGCAGCGCGACCGGCGCACACACACACACACACACACACACACACACACACACACACACACACACACACACACACACACACACACACACACACACGCACACACACACACACGCACACACACACACACACACACTAGAAAAATAAATAACACATTTGGCGCTCCGCGCTGATTTCTTGGATCCGCGCTGGACCCCCCCCTCCCCGGCGCGAGGAGCGCGCCAGGGGCGGCGCCGCGGCGCCCGAGGCGCCGCTGGGGGGCCCAGCGCGGATCCAGGAAATCCGCGCGGAGCGCCAAACGTCTATGTTTTATGGCGCGCCTCTCTCTTCGACGCACACAGGCACGCGTTTCCGCTGCGGGGCGGCCGCGCGCCGCGTGGCCGGTGGCTGACGGAACTATAGTTACTTACTCCTGTGGGGCGAGCGGAGCGGAGCGGAGCGGAGCGGAGCGGAGCGGAGCGGAGCGGAGCGCGGAGGCGTCCCCTCCTGAAGCAAGGGGCCGCCACAGGCCTGCGCAGAGCTCGCCATCGCTCGGACGTCCATTTCCTGTTTTTTTGTTAGTTTCGTGCGTGGCTTGTTCGCCAAAAATGATCCAGGATGCTCCTCGATGGTCCTCGCCGAAAGAGAAATGCACACGTCCGAGCGATGCCAAGGAGAGGGGCCGGGGCCCTCGGACTCGGAACGAGTCTGCGGGGCGGGGGTCTCTCCAGATCCACCGCCTGGGAACCGACGTCCTGGTGCCCCAGCGCGCGGTGGATGTGGTTGTCTTTCGGCCCCCGGGGGCCCGGATATGTCCCTATCCACCGCCTGCCGAGGCTCCGAAAACTGACCCTCCAGGCGGTGGTCATGTACAGATTCCCGCCTCTGGAAATCAGAGGGTTCTCCAGACTCAAGCGAGATTACCTGCATGGCGCCCCCCCCCCCCCCCCCCCCTTGCCCCCCTGCGATCGACGACGAGCGTGCAAGTGCCTTTCGACTTGCGCGATTTCCGCACGTCAAGTCGTTCGCGGCTGGCTCCGGGTTCAGCCAGGCCCCCCCCCAGTCCATCCAGGCAGGCTTGCCAGAGTCTACAAAAAAAACGGGCTCACAGAGGCGGCCGCTCCCGACGTGCTCGGCTGGTCCAGCGCAGGGCCGTGCGTGGAGCACCACCGTTCGGGCAGGCCGTCGGCGCCGATCCTGGCCTCGCGGAAAGAGGGATCGGGAGCGGCCAAGAGGGGGGTGTCCAAGAGGGGGGGTGCAAATCATGACCGGCGGCACGTGCGCGGCCCAGCGGGGGGGGGGGCCAGGGATGTGATGGAGTAAGAAGAGGCGCCATGAGATCTGGGGAGGTATCCTGGCCCCCGCCATGATATCCACCCCCCCCCTAGTCATCACCCCCCCCTTTTCCGCCCCCGGAGGGAGCTCGCGGTCGCGGCCGCGTGCGCGGCGGCGCGGCGCAGGCCAGGCCGGGAGGCAGCGCGCGGCGCAAGGCCCTGCTCCGCGCGCCAGGGAGACGCTGGATCCCGACGTGGGGGATCGACAGCAGTCGAGCACACACACAAACACACACACACACACTCACACACACTCAGACACACGCGCACGCACGCACGCACGCACGCACGCACGCACGCACGCACACACACACACACTTACACTTTTTTTGCGTCAGCAACTAGGTGGGGTGACTGCGCTGGCGGAGGGCTACCTGAACGTGAGTACCGTTCCCACACACATACTCACACGGAAGCAGGCAAACAGACAGAGACTCCTCTGAGATCGCAGACGCCGTCAAGGGGACTGGGTCTCTCACCGCTCTGGCGAGACGGCCGCTCCTGCTTCTCCTCCCTCCGACGACGAGACGGCGACAACGACCAACAACGATCTGAGACCCGAGATCGAACCCTGATCGTAACCCCATCCGATTGATTGACCCACTGGGCAAAACTTTCTGTTCGTGCAACGATCCGCGACTTCCTTGCCGGCGCGCACAGACAGGTGGGGCGAGTGGTGGCGGTCCCCTACCCTGACCTCCCAGGAGGCCTGAATCATAGCACCAGGGCAATTGATGTAACTTGCAGCCGAAGCTCTAAGCAGTCCTGAAAGAGTCCATGTGTCTGGAGGCCTGTGCTCAGCAATATGAAGGCCACGTTGCTGTGAGGAGACATCCTGCCCCTTCGAAGCCCTCCGCTGCACTCCCAGAGGCCTCATATCGGAACCCTTCTGAGAGGGGGGCCTGATGGACCATCTGCGCGATGTCAAATTTTTCCGTGATTTCGGCCACCCGCATTTCTCGACACCTTCCACGCGGCCAGCTACTCATCCTGAACCATTTCTCTTCACGATCCTGGGGCTGGGAAAACGGTCTCCCAAAGCGATACATATCGGATGCCTGCCGTCACGTCACGACTTCTCTCCGTCGCCCCAGTCCGAGGCTTCCTCACATGCCCGCTCCCTGCCCCTCCCCGAACCCCCCTTGGCTTTGGACGCCCGAAATGGGTACGGAAAGAATGGGTACAATGCCCGACAACAAATGCTGTCCCAAACCAACAACGGCCGCTGTTGGGCAAGCGGCCTTCTGTCTCGAATGGACACGGGCCGCGGCGGCGCGGACAGCGAGTCCTGTTCGAAACGAACAGGAACTGCTGTTGGGCATCGTACCCACTCTTTCCGTACCCATCTCGGGCGTCCAGATCACTGATCGCCGACAGGCAGGCCTGTGCTGGATCGAACGATGCCGGCGGATCGCACCGAACGGCATCGAAGCCGCGGCCCCAAGCGGTGACACGAAGCGCACCGGAGCGGACCGTGCGTGGGCGGCCCTGCCGGGTACCCAGACCCCCCCCCCGACGTCTCGGCTTCTGTCGAGGCGACGACCCCCAAAGGCCTTGCCCCATGCCCTGGGGGCCGATGTTTCATCCTGAGTCGTGTCCTGACGATCCCGCCGGGAAGGCCCCCGAGAAACTGGAAAAGAGAAATCCCTTCCGCTTCGGAGTACCATCTGGGACCTACTCCAGAGCAAGAGCAGACCGCCAACGGATCTGATTACCCCTTATCCGACCCTATTGCACTGCGTCGAGCACAACGGCCGCGTTGTCTACAGAACTATCCACCCCGAAAGGGTCTACATACCTAATTAACATCACCCGATGTGTCCATAGAGACGCTTGTGGCTAGAAAGTGAGAACGATACTTGGCATAGGCCCCAAATATTGGTTTTCGAGAAGCAAGTAGACTTAGGTCGGGCATGTCCTCCTACAGGCGGATTCTGGGATAAAACTAAAAATAATCCCAACATGCTCAAAAACAGCAAAGCAAAATAGTCGAAACATCGTCCCCATTTTTCCCGATTTTTGAATATTCGTCCTGAAGAAGGACATGCCCGACGTACAGGTAGACTTGGCCCTCCACCTGCCGTCGTGATTTCTGTGGGCCGCAGGTAAACTTGTGCCGCCGATCCCCCGAGCGGCATCAGAGCGGCTCCCGAGCGCCCGGACGGAGCCCAGCAGCATGCCCTGGAAGGGGAGCAGCGCGTACACGGCGCCGGGCACCTCTCCCGGGGTCGCCACGAGGGCAAGACGAGAGCCTGCTTTTTCTGTTTAAAGACTCTGGCAAGCTTACTTGCATGGACGGGGGGGGGGAACCTGAAGCAGGCCGCAAACGACTTGACGTGTGGAAATGACGCAAGTCGAAAGGCACTCGCAAGCGGGTATTCGATTAAAGAGGGGCGAGGGCGAGGGGTGGGTGGGGAGAGGGGGGGGGGGGGGGCGAACGCCATGCAAGCAAACTTGCTTGAATCTAAAGAAAAACAGGCTCCCAGGACCACACCAGGACAACCTCGGGCAAAAAAAAAGTCGGGGATCTCGGAGATCCGGCGGTTCTTTTGGATGATGCTGTCGGGCGCCGCGGCCGTTCTAGATCTCGAGTAGGGGGTCGACTACAGAATTGAAGTACCCCGATATATTGGTTTTCCTTCGAATCTTCGACACGAGGAATATCATGCTCCTCAGATCTACGGGGGGATTCTTCGCAGTTTTGGTACACTCGACGGAAGCATACTTGGGGTAAACCGATTCTGTAGTCGATCCCCCACTCGAGGGGCGCTCCCGAAGGCTCTGAGGGCGCGTCCCAGGACGCTCTGGAACGATGCACCTTGCTCCTGGGCCCGCCCGAGAAGGTGCCACCCGGCTCCTGGCGCTGCTCTAGAGCCCCTGGGGGCCCGCTGGGAATTCAGGCCAGGGATGCGTCACTGGTGATGCCCAGGAGGACCGCGGCCGGGGGGCAACCCCATGCCCTCGCGTCCAGGCTTTGTCGCCGTCGTCGTCGTCCTCCTCCTCCTCCTCCTCCTTCCCTCCTCCTCCTCCTCCTCCCCCTCTTCCTCCCCCTCCTCCTCCTCCTCCTCCTCCTCCTCCTCCTCCACCTCCTCCGCCTCGTCGTCACACCTCAAGGCGACGTGATCCAAAGGACGACGGGCGATCTCCGTCTCGCATTTGTATTGGTAGAGTGCTAGTGGTCGTGGTAGTAATGGCGGGATAAATACATCATATTATACATACATACATATATAAATGTATCTACATGTGCGTGGTCGTGGTCGTCGTCTACTTCGCAGTATTGCTTATCATCGTCGTAGCAGTGGTCGTAGTACAACTAAGCAGTACTAGTAGTAGCAACAGTAACCGTAGTAGTAGCAGTCGTAGTAGTAGTAGTAGTAGTAGCAGTCGTAGTAGTGCTAGTAGTGCTAGTATCAGTAGTAGTAGTAGTAGTAGTAGTAGTAGTAGTAGTAGTAGTAGTAGTAGTATTACTAGTAGTAGTAGTAGTAGTAGTAGTAGTAGTAGTAGTAGTAGTAGTAGTCGTAGTAGTAGAGTAGTAGTAGTAGTAGTAGTAGTAGTAGTAGTAGTAGTAGTAGTAGTAGTAGTAAGAGACGTAGTAGTGGTGGTAGTAGTAGTAGTAGTAGTAGTAGTAGTAGTAGTAGTAGTAGTAGTAGTAGTAGTAGTAGTAGTAGTAGTAGTAGTAGTAGTAGTTGTAGTAATAGTAGTAGTAAAAGTCGCAAAGGCACTAACAATAATGGAAGTAGGAATAGTCGTAGCAGTCGTGAAAGCAGTAGAAATAGAAGAGCGAGTGGTAGTAGTAGTTGAAGTAGTAGTAGTAGTAGTAGCAGTAGTAGGAGGAGTAGTAGTAGTAGTAGTAGTACTCGTAGTAGTAGCCGTAGCCGTAGTAGTAGTAGTAGTAGTAGTAGTAGTAGTAGTAGTAGTAGTAGTATTAGTAGTAGAAGCAGTCGTGGTACTAGTAGTAGTAGTAGT